TTGGTCCTGCATTGCGGTAAAAAAGAAAAGCAGCTGAGGGAGTCTTTATATATATATAGTATATTTATTTGACACATGAACCATGCCAGAAGCCTGCAACAAGTACTCATGATCTATCAGATCCGCCATCTTGGCTTGGATGCATCGTTGAGTTTGCTCACAAGAAAAGGTGTTTGACAGGTCGGTTGATCTTTGGACCGTGAGAGCATGTGAGAACCACTGGCGATGAGTGGATTGCCTGGAACAAGGCACGTCCGTCCTGGTTGCCAGGCACGCCCGATGTTGCTGAGAAGGCGGCACGCTTGAAGGAGCGCTACGCCAGGTGCGGGCGGACGACGTTTCGACGACTTGCGCACGGCTTGTTGAGAAATGTGGCACGGCTGCGCACGGCTGCGCACGGCTGGAGAATTGATGTGAAGGTTCGTGAGGTTCCAGTCTTAAGCTTCTATTTTGAACTTCACTTTGAACAAACGTGCGGTGGGAAGTCTTCCAAGACGTTGTAGTGATTCTTGGTGCTCCTTTTGTTGGGTTGATCACCTGACTTGGACCCTGACGCTTCCCAGGGCCTTCAAGCGCTTCCATGTGACGAAGCATCCCAAGCAGTGGGCCGGCGGCCGCGAGATCCGAGGGAAGTGCTCGAACGCCAACTACACCATGCGCGCCGTGCTTTGGGCGGCAGTCGGTTTGGGGGGGACAGGTCCCGGACTCAAACGGATGTGCCAGGTGACCGAGCTCCGTTTGAGCCGCCGGAATTGCACGAAAGCCGAGAGGGTGAAGAGTCGCCTGGTCGAATGCCACGGAAGGCGGGTGTGCGTGGTCTTTTTTGGTTGTTTTCTCCGAGGTTCTCCGCCCAGAGAACCTGCGGCCTGAACAAAACAGGATCACAAAAGGACCAATTGGACGGGAGGGTCCTGTTGTGGGTTTGAATGGTTTGACCTTGTTTGACCTAAGCACTGAAAGCTCTCAGTGTTTTCCATCCACAAGGCTTTCTTCCAAGAGTTTCTGCCAACGAATCTCCACAGTCGGGGCCAGGAACCTTGCTTTCACATGGTTCTCTTTGCCTTTGACGACCGAAGTGGAAGACAATGTATAAAAATATAATATTAATGAGTTCTCCATTTGGCATTGCTTCCGGTCAAAGAAAATAGAAACCATGAAGAGGATTAATTTTGGTTTCTTAAGGTGATCATGGGCTTATCTCTTCTCTTTTGAAATGAATCCCAGAAGAGTCAGGCAAGTTTCACTCTTCGGATGTGAAGGCCTATCTCGCTCTTGCTCTTAGGCCGTGACACGCCTGGAGGAGTACGGCGATCTGGATTTGAGCTGTACCTTGGACTTTGGGGCCTTTGTCCAGGGAAGTGGCCTCCAACTGCCTCAGAAAGGGACTTATATATTAACCATCCCGGACACCTTGCCATAGGGTGTGCAACACTTGGGGCAGACATCGTGAGAAATCGCAGGGCCTGCGACCCAGAGGTGGCACAGATGCGGATTGAACCAACATCTAGTGGTTTGGGCATGCCCCACCCCCCCGCGGTTGGTTCAGTATAGAATCCGAGGTTCCGGAAGCAACACCCCCTGAGCATGTCTTTTTTCGGTCGGCCCCTCACTGCGATGGTGCATCAAAACGGGAGCAAAAGTGAACCCTTTGGAGATTCTTGGAGTGCATTGAGCTGGCCAGAGAATGACTGCCCCAGAGAATGGAGGTAGCATTAAGTCTTCAAAGATCTTCAAAGCAACAAAGCCCGTCACATCCGATCAGCCTTGAAACCCGGACTTTTGATGTTTCCTCCGGGTTGACATGGCTTGAAAGGACTGTGATCCGACTCCTTCGCGCTTTGCGCGTAGAAAGGCGACACGTTCTGAGGCACCACCGCTACCAGCTGTGACACAGATTCCATTTTTGCCCCTCGCTACTTCGAGAATCTGGGCTATCAGCTGCCTGGAGTCGAGGCTTTTTCTTTGACTTGGCTTAGGCGATTTCAATTGATTTCTGTGCTCCGTATGGTTGAATCGATGCCTGTGATTCCATGCATTCAATTTAATTATCTAATTTATATGTATATATATAAGTGTATATATATATATATGTCAACACTTTAAACAAATCCAAGTTTGGGATTGGCCCCCACTTTCGTTCGACTAGACCAAAAATTGCAGGTGGCTACTAGACCAACTCCGACACCGGCGACCCACACGGTAGTATACCCTCCTGTTAGTGGAAGAGAACGGTCTTCGAACTGGCCATATTCCACTTCCCTTCCATGTTTGTTATAGGGAGGGCAGTTGTTCTTGTGTTTTCTCCTTTGTTAGTGCATCCGGGGTTGGCCACATGGTGGTTCAAAGAAGATGGCATGGTCCAGCTCCGCTGGTTGGGGGGCTTTCCACTTCTATTTTTTGAGCTGAATGTGAAGCTGTGGAGAGGTTAACCTCGAGGTCCATGAGTATGTGATTAGCTTGTTTGATGTGCTATTCCATGAACTTTTCGCATGGCTTCCACAGTTTTGTTGCTAAAGGAACGGCAACACTCCTTGTACTTGGTTCTAATGCACCTGCCTACGCCAGGTTCGAACGAGCTTGCTATTGGATCTTATTGGGTACTGATAGACTCTGATTCCCACTATCTATACTCACATGGGACGTGTTTGAAGGCCATGGTGGTCGTGTCCCGATGGCGGGACCGCCCTCGGGTCCACCGCAGGTCCATCTTTACGCCACAGGACGCCGGACTGGGTGAGCTCCAGGTTTTGACCCCTCCCCATGTATGTCATATATATATATAATATATATATACAGTTTATAGGGGTTCGGTTTGTGCTATTACCTGTAATATCCTGTAACAGTTCGGTAGACGATTATCACATATTATCACTATCACTTCTTGAACAAGGCCTTTGCTAACCAACATCATCCACTGTTGCTGCTAATAGGACAGACGCAATATATGAGCATCCGACACAACTTCCGTGCATGTAGTTTAGTAATGAGGTGCCTTAAGTACTGTATCTCAGAACTCAGAATTGATTGAAACCCCGCATAGCCGATAGGGGTCAACCCTGTACCAATACCCTTCCTTAGGTTAAGGGCAAGTTGATTTGCCAAATGCTGTCGGAATTTGGTTTTAGATGGGGAACTCTACCACTAGCCTACCGATACCATACTTGAACTGTTTACCCCTCGCGCGCCCAACTCGCTTCTAAACACCTTTTAGCTGAAGTTTAGGAATGTGTTTCAGCCGTGTTTGTGACCCACCATGGGGTATGGGAAGAAAAGTGGGGAGACGTGTATGGAGACAAGTGGGGAGACGAAGCAGCAGCGGCACAGCAGCGGCAAACCAAAACGGCCATCACGACAGGCAGACAAGTGGGGAGACACGTAAGGAGACAAGTGGGGAGACAGCAGCCGCACGCAGCAGCGGCAAACCAAAGCGGAATAGAGGCCGCACCAGTCATTGAGAAGTAAGAACAATAGCTATTTGGGGAGTCAAACATGTTTGGAAGCAACATGCTTTGTGTGTGCTCATGAGAAGAAGTTCAGCAGTTGAGTCCAAGAGTCCAAAACGCTGAAAACCAACCCAAAATACTTTTAGCAGTGACAAAATATTAGTTTAAATATAACATACTGTATATATATATATTGGTGGCCAGAACCTCCACTCAAGCAGGTGATTTGTGCCCTCGCCTCCGCGCTTGAGGTTCTTGACCTCGCCCAAGGCCAAGGAGGTGGTTTGGCAGGCACCGCTCTATTATAATCATTATTTGAATGACCGTGCCTTGGAAGCCAAAGTCTCAATGATGCTTAGCGCACTGAGGATTAGGGGCCAGAGGCAGGAACCAATTGTTTTTGCCGTGCGAGGGTCGTTGGAGTCCAACTTGTTCTGCAATGTTGTTTTCAAGGTCCTTTCTATGTCCGTGCCATCGGCATTATGCGCGCAGCCTACATGCTTGGCTTTTTGATTCCTTTCAACATCAACACCATGTCGATCTTCAGCTTCTCCTTGGACCTGTGCATCAAAGGCGAATTCTTTCATGCGCATTATCAGATGGACGAATCTCGGACCCGGTGTTTGGTTTTTGCCCGTCCTCGTCAAGATCTTAAAATACATTTTGGACATGTTTTTTTTAAAGCAGAATGGTTTCTCCCAGAATTCATTTGTATTCCTTGTCTTCAGTGTTTTTTTTAAAACACAACAACCACTGTCGTTTTTAGACCCAACAACAACAACAAAAAAAACCATCACAACAGTAATTTGCACTATTTACTTGTTTCTTTGTCCAACTTGGGCATGTCATGGACTCCATCCAATTGTGTCTGTGTCTGAGGACATCATCTACACTTTGACCTGTATGCAAGCGCTTCAGAAACGTGTGGAAATCCTCATGATTCCCATGCCCGTGATCTCCGGCCCACCAGTGGCACCACCCAATGTGAGGACTGGAATTGATGCGTTTTTTCTTCCGCGCGGTCCGTATGTTCAGTGCTTGGGTTCCGTTATTTTTTTTGCGCGGTGTGTGGGAAACCCCTGACACCAAACCGCCGTAAAGCCATTTCGGGGGACAGTTGCAACTTTGAGCAGTACATCCAACCTTGTTTAAACATGTGTTTAATGCAGATCCACTGTAAAGCCTCACAACCTGGCAGCCGGGCGACGAACAACCACGACCAGCGACGTGGAGTCGACGAAAGACGAAAACGGACATGTGCGGAGAGGAGTCATGAGACATTTGGGTGTTTGGTCCTAAAGGTTATATTATATATAATCGATTCTATAGAGGCTGCCTAGATCTTTTTCCGATTTTGAGAACAGTGAATCATGCAATGATCATGGATGTTCATTTGTTTCGCCACAAAGGCCTTGTGTTTTTCATGTCCTGCCGGAGTGAGTTCCGAATCTGGAAGCGCCACGTGCCAAGGTTCAAAGCAGATGGTCCACACTGTGTAGACACTGTGCCTCATGTTTTCTGACTGGGGCCTGGGGTGGTTTGGCGAACTGGGGGGATCTCCCTCTTCACCCCTTCACTAGATGAACAGACTTCGTTCCCCTCCCACCGCATGTTCGAACTCGCCGTGCGTTCCTCGAACTCGCCGTGCGGGAACCCGCAGGAGTTCAGCGAATGGTTCCGCCAGAGCGAACGCTGGACGATCGGCGCCTGCGAGGTCTTCCACTACTTTGTGGTGAAGCGCCGGCGCTACAACTGCGCTGCGGCCATGTCCTACGGCACTTGGTTCCGTGGTAGATTAATGGACCCAAGATAGATGGGTATTATGGTATTTTGGGGTAGAGAAGTGGAGCTGCATTCATCATGGAATGTGATAAACATGTTTTTTCAATACTATCTTGTACTTTGGCCATGGGGTCATGAAGGACAACCCATGTATTCTAGTGAGTTTATGTGTGTTTTTCCGGGAAGACTCAATTTGGGGACCACTCTGTCTCTATGAAGAGTAGTTTCATTGTATATATCATGTAGTCATATGTGGTGACACCCAACTGGAATCAACTGGACATTTCACAAAACAAACACACTATGTAACTATATAGAATTATACTTATCATTATGTAATTAATACTTATTGGGGTTCCAATAAGACCCTCTTAAGATGTTTCATGAAATTACTATAGTTGTATGTCTATCACTTCTTCGTGGCCTTCTCCCCAGGTTCGTGATCTACTACGGCTTCATTTTGTGCTCTCTGACCCTGACAGGACGTTCTCGCCAAAAGAAAGAAAATGGCTCCAGTTTGTTTCTCCAGCCAAAAAAGGCAAAAAGCTGTGGTGAAACAGTGAACATGTATATATATAATAATTCATATATATATATATATGTATATATATATATTGGTTTGGTGGACCTGGTGGTGGTCTGAGAGCACTGCATACAGTCAAACATGGCTTTTAATTCAAAATAAGAATGAATTAAGACACATACTCTTGGCATGATGACGATCCATCCTGGTGGAGTGTTTCAAGAGTGGTTCAAAAGGGCGCATCAATCACTTCCTTCGAGCCTGTGTCGATAGGACTTGCCGGATTCATCAACTATGCCTTGGTGAACGCCAAACGCAACACGATCGCGGACATGGCTGAACACACAGGCCAATATCCTTTGGATGATGCAGCCAACACCGGAGTGATGATTGCAGGCTTCTCCAGTCTTGCTTGGACCTACATCGTTTTCCTGATCTTCTTCTACCTTGACCGTGAAGGTTGTAAGCTCATCTATCACCTGAAGATGAAACCGCAGGGTGCAGAGGATACTGGCTTCTGCCAGAACTTCAAGGATTGGATTTTGATGTGGCCAAGCTTGGTGATGTACTCCTGCGTGAGCTATTGGGCCATCCTGAAGGTCGCTTTCTATGGCAAGAGGGTTTGTGGCCACGATCCGTCCAGCAAGGAGGGCCTCAAGGCGTGGTGCGTTTCGGCGGTGACCGGACGTGGGAGCGCAGCAGACCCGCGTTTGTCCGGTTTTTGGAAGAGACACTCGCGTCTAGCTTCTTGCTACTAGTAGCGATGCCAGGAGCCCCTAGTAGCGTCCTTGCTCCTAGTAGTAAGGCCAGGAGCCCCGTTTGTAGCTTCTTGTTACTAAGAAAAAAGAGGTCAATGACTCTTTGGTGTTTCATGGAGAGGGGCTCATGGATGTTCATGTTCAGGGCCCTGGTTGCAATGCTCCACCCACTGGATGGGTCTAAAAGCTACTCTTGGAGGCTCAGAGTAGGCAGATTGCTTCCTAGACGAGTTCGACATGGCGCAGGCGGCTGCATCATTCCGAACTCATCCCGACGAGTCCGGTTTCCACACCCTCCAAGAGACAGCCCTGAGTCCTGGGAGTCCAAGACGGTCTTGAGGTGAAGCGAAAAGGATGTTCCTGTATTTGGACTCCTAAAAAAGTTATATATATATATTAAAATCAAGAGGTCCTGTGAAATAAATACCTCTTGCAAGATGGGGGGAAAACAGATCGAAAACGATACCGGCTCCACTCCTGGAAGCTTTGTTGTCTTCAACCACCCAACACACCCAACAAAAAATCAGACCGCTCCCCGGTTTGAACCGTCTCGTCTCGGTTCGGGCTCCGGTCGTGGTGGAGGCGGGACAAGCTATGGGCGAAGTCCTGGCCTCGGAGACCTCCACCGCGGAGGGCGCCTCCGAGAGCGACGCCTGAGGGAGCTGAACGAAGGAACGAGGAGTCCAGACGATGGCGCTGGCACTAGTTCTCCATGACACGCGGGCGCTGAAGGGGGCCGTGGGTGGCTGAAGGATGCTGTGGTTTTTGGGGACTGCAGCAAGGTTTTCATTTTGAATCCTTCAGCGCAGAAGGCATAGCTTTGTTCGCCTTCGGTTCGCCTTCCTGGCCTCAAGCGCAGGTCAAGAATTCGGGTTGCAAGCCTTTCTCAAAGCAAGCCTGGAGCAGTCGAGGAACTGCTTGGGGCGCGATTTCCGCACCCTTTCGCTTGCTGTAGAGTACCTTTACAGGACGCTGGCCCTTGCGTCACGCGCTAATGACGGAAGAAACAGGTGCGAAATGAAAATCCGCTAGGGATCCACATACCTTCTCAGAAGGTACTTGGACTTGCATGTTATGTAAAAATGTCTCCAATCACCTTCTCAGAGGTGTGGATCCATAGGGATCAGATACAGTTTGTCATCCAGATATATAGATCGTTGCTCGTTGCATCTGAAGATCCGGCAAGCTCGTTGGGAGGGTGAACACATGTGAACACCAACCAAATCCAAAAGAATAATGGTAGCTCCATCCCTCTTCCACGCCCATGGGTCGGGTGCATGAATTGGACGGTCGGGTCCCGTGCCAGGACCTTAGAAGAACAAAGATAAAACAAAACACATCGACCATGTATGGTAATAATGGACACCCACACCACCACAAAGGGGTCTAATTATACCATCACCACCACAAAAAAAGACACTATATACGGCCCGTGCCCTTTGAACGGTTGTCCCATGCCGGAGATGAGGTTGTCCCATGCTGGAGATCCTGGACATCTCACGGAACCTTCTCACTGCTCCAGACCTGGAGGCCGTTTTCCGGACGGGCAAACTCTGCGACCCTCCGCGACCGAAGGAACCTTCAGGCAGCCTGCGGGCCCCTCCGCGAATCCATTGCTTGTTTAACCGTTTGGTGTGTTTGAGGAGTGCAGACCCCTTGAGTGACCCCTCTTTTGGAGAGCCAAATACCCCAAATACAGCCTTTTCCTATATGTTCCTATCAAAAAAAGGGACCACTTGGTGTTCCAGGTGGTATCTTCTCCGCCAGGTCGAGAAGCTGAAGTCCATCGCAAGCCTAAAGGAGCTGTGTATCCAGGCGGGATTTATGCACTTTCGGCCGCTGTTCTCCGTGGTTGGGTCGTGATTCCAAAGCGTGAACTAGCGGCCAATGGACTTTTAGGAGCAACTTTTGGACATGTGGCATGTTGAAGAAGATATTGAAGAACATGTTCAGTTCAAGCACCACCTGAGAGGTTGTCCCCATGATGTTCAAGGTAACATGGTAACCATGGGCTAGCGGCTAGTAGCTTGACTTCTAAGATCCTTGCCGATACGGTATTTGTGATGTTGTATCTAAGTCCTATAAGATTCCGACCATCATTGATTCATCGGTCCTTACCGAACAACCCATTGTTTTACGACTATAACTATAAGTGTTTGACTACAAAACCAGGACAACTGTTCAATGGCGACGAGTCGACCATCGACTGTATGGCGACGGACGATGGCTGATGGGCACCCCACGTGGCGACAAGACGTTGCAAACATTCCGCTTACGATGAACTGATTGGACCAAGCCTGTGAGCGATGTAGATGGACGCCGCGATGAGCTGCGTCCCACGGTTAAAGGACCAAGGAAAGAACAAGAAGGGAGAGTGTGTTGAAGAGTCACCCTGATACTGCAGGACCTGGTCCTTCAGTCGTGTTGTTTGAATACTGGACCTTCTTAGGCCCGTTTGGCAGTTGGAGCGTCTATTGAGTTTTGCCCACCCACGTGCATCAAACATACAAGATATTATAGCCTGCATGTGACATGCAAGAACTAACCCATACTAACCCTTTTTTCGAGTTTCATTCTGGTTCTCCAATCGCCGTGTGCTTTTCTTTGCGGTGCAGCCTGGGCCAGGGCAACCCCATGGCCGAGAGCGAGGAGATGCCCAAGGTGCTCGGGCGATTTGGTTGTGTAGTAGAATAGGGAGAGCCCCTGTAGGACCCTCCTGGAAGAAGGAAAATAGACCACGACCCATGCCATGGGGGGCTTACTTTCCCGATGTCTCATACAAACAGAATAGACCAAGACCAATAAATTCTAAACTCCACCATGAATCCAAGATGCAGGGGTCTTAAGGGAAAACACCTGTTGTTGGTTTTGCCATGTCCGGAAAAAAAAACGGGATCGTCGGATGGAGGGTCACCAGGGATCGCCGCTGGTTGGAAACGGGACATGTGGGGGCACTCTGGGAATTGGAGGAAGAACACCTGGAACAAGCCGGTACCGTACCCTCATGATAGCTGGCATTTGGTGCTTCAGTGCTTCAGCTGTTCCCCGCTGAAGAGTTGAAGAGATGAAGGTCCAGACGGTATCCATGTTGGCCAGTGTAGGCTAGCAGGGACCCCACACGATCTTATTGCCGCATCGGATGCTTTGCATTGCTCTTGATGTTCAGGAGGTGTTATCATTGTTATCTTTGCTCCATCCTTCTACCGTATACGCAAGTACATGTCTATAGCATTCACAGTACTGTACCTTATTTGATCCTAGTTGTACATGTTTTTGTATATGTTGTATAGATAGCCAATAACCAACAGATATATATATATAGGTATTGATCATAGACCGCCTGTTTCTCCGAGCCCACCAAGCATCGGCTCCCCAAAACATCGACATAGGCATAGGATGTCATAGTCATGTATATAGTCAAGTCTACAGGCGTATAGGTTCAATAGACATACTTGTACCTCATAAGTCTTTCGAATCCCTGGTTCTCTGCAGATGATCATCGATTCTCTTGTTTTGGATCGCTGCGGCTCTCGGCCCCAAGCGAGGCCTTGGCTTTGTTGGAAGGTTTGGAGTACCTGGAGAACAGGCTTGTGCGAGAGTATGCACTCTGTTCGATGTTTTTCTTCTATTGTTATTCTGGTTTCTGATGTTATTTGTCGTATCATTGTTTTGTTGTTCTAGCGTTTTTGTTTCAGCCTTTGCTTTTATATCTTGAATGTATGGTGAATCATGGTTGCATGCTCCAAAAAGACTCATTTGGGTTTGGCAGTTCCAGTTCAAGAGACACCTTTTCGTTCGATCTCCTCAGCAAGATTCGTTGTCTCAATCCACACTGCATGACGCCTGGCTTACCTCTATATGAAGAGCTAAAGACGGCACCAAAGACCTAGAGCTTGGATCCCAAAAAAACACCGGCCGTTTTTTGTCGCTTTTTGATGCGTTCGTTGGATGGTTGACTTGAGAATCTCCGGTGCCCTGGATTTGAACAGAGCTTTGAAGGCACAGAGCTTGAGAACGTATGGACCAGAATTCCGCCAGGGCAGCAAGCCAAGAGGCAGTTTTGGTTTTAAATACGGAGACCTTGTTCCGCCAGTTCACGGAGGAAGTCACTTCCAACAGTTTGGAGTCTCCTGTTGAGACACCGGTAGGGTTGCATGAAACATCCCAAGGTCCTGAAACATCACCACACCATGATGACAAGGACAACATATCCCATGATCTCATGAAGCGTTCTCCGCGAGGGTGCTGGGATGTGCTGGGTCATTTGGATGTATTTAAAGAAATGGATTACTATGGATGATATACGTACTATGGATGATATACGAACTAGGGATCCCCACTGCGCAATCCATGTTTTCATCACCACTATGAGTCCAGGGTGTGTACACGAGTACTTCTCCGCCGATGTACTTTGTTCATTCATGCACTTCTTGAAGGATGTCTTTCACACGATGCCATCAACTCACCGAACCGCGCCGTGTTACACGGCCCCGGAGTACGTCAGGCAGTACGTCCCGATCAAGTCTGTGATGTTGGAGGACTTCTGAATTGACTGAGCATATTGCCTCAACATTAGCAACTATATACAGTATATATATATATGTATATGTGTCTTCCACGTTTCAGACTGAGCATAGTTGCTCCGAACCCATTTTCATACAACATGGTTGCAGACAAAGTATGTCTCATGGCGGATCCAATGCGTTGCACCTGCACAAGACAAAGGATCCATGCAGCGCACCGTTGACACGTCGTGCAGGATGGAGAGGACCAAGGAACCTTTGGCCTGACCAACGTGGCGCCGCAGGAGCGGACGGGGAGGAACCGGGGAGGCCTGAGCTGCCTGGGCAGACCGGCTGGCCCTGTGGGCGGAAAATGCCTGTGCCGATCTTGGGCCATGTGAGAGGGAAACCCCGATCTCGACAGATCAAAAGCCCGGTGATGCAAGAGGTTGACACGTGGGTCATGTCACCGTGGATGTCACCGTGAATATCCGTGAATCACTGGATCATCGACAGAATGTCTCAAATATGGACCTGGGCAGACAGCAACAAGAACAACAACAACAACAACAGCAACAACAACCTAACATGAGCGCGACGTTGGCTCATCTGTGCAAGCCACAGCTCATGTGGAGCAGTGGAGAAAACAATAACAAGGTGTTGTTTCACCGATGTGCTGTCTTTTGATGGTGTTTGGCGTTTGGTGATATTTTTGGTTTATGATTATGTTTGATGCTACCTTGGACTTGGGTTTGAGGAAGTGTGGGGTGCTGCATGGTTTGCCCATGAGACCATGGAGTGTGAGGTTTATGCTCCACAAAGCCTGTCCCTAGGGCTCCAAGCACTTCCACAGACAGTGTTTGGACCCTTCAAATCCCTCCCAACCACCTTTTCAAGATGTACTTGGAGCCCCTGGGTGTGTCAAGTTTGATCTAAGGGGTGTGTTGCCTATGCTTCCATGCTTCCGATTTCCGCATGACGTACTCGACGTACTGGGACACCTCGTTCGCAGAATTGAGCATACCAACGTTGGAATATGAATACACTGAATATACCAACGTGGTATATCACTCGCAAGTTCAGTGATTCACGCAGCTCAAGGCCGCTGGTGTTCCGGCCGTCACTGCTTTAGCAGGCCGCTGCTTCGAGACCCGG